GGAAAATGGGAAAGGAAGAGAGAGAATGCATTGGTCAACTCTTCCATATCTGGCCCCTAGTAAGTGTTTAATTAATGCTTGTTGAGTGATTAGCCATGCCCTAGATCCCAGTGTGGTACCACTCATGCATTCCACAGGCTCAATCCCACAGTATTCAATATCTCTCTGTTTTAGGAATGACAGTTTGGTGGTCGGATGGAGGATGGATTGGAAAGGGGCAGACAGGCAGAACAATTAGGAGGAAATAGTAACAGTTCAGATGAGAGGTGATCAATCCATAAACACTTATTAAGCATCTTTTTTACTATGACTATAAAACGAAACAGCAAGACTCTTTGTGATCAAGGAATTGACTTTATACTGGGGGACATACAAAAATACACAAGATAGTTTTTTTTTTTTGGTAGGGGTTAGTTAAAGCTGGGGGGATCAGCAAGGGACTCATACAGAATGTGGCATCTGAGCTTGTCCTTTGAAAGACACTGGGGTATCTAAGAGCCAGAGATGAGGGGAGAGGCCATTGCAGGTCTGGGGGACAGCCAGGGGGATTCTGGGTTGTGAAAGAAGAACCACAAGAATACCAGTCTAACTGGTCTGTTGTGTGTGCACGAGGGGGAGTCCTGTATAACAAGGCTGGAAAGGAAGGTTGGAACCACGCGATGAAATTATGAAGTCTTGGCTTTAGACGCCAAACAGAGGTGATTAAATTTTTCTGAGAGGTGCTAGGGAGCCACCCCCCTGGAATTCATTTAGTAAGAGAGTGGCATCATCAGAGCTTTGTGTTCAGAAAATCATTTGGGCAGCTGGGTAGAAGATGGAGTAAAGAGGGGAGAGGCTGGAGGCACCGAGCTCAATTAGGACATTATTGCAGTAATTGAGGTGAGAGATAATGAAGGCTCACACTATGTAAGTGGAGAGAGATGGAGAGATGCAAGAGAAATTGTGGGGGGTCAAATGAACAAAACTGATGATGTATGTGGAGCGGGGGAAGGGACGGGTTGAGGATGACACAGAGGTTATGAACCTTGATAACTGGTGGACAGACGTAGGGAAATGATGACAGCCCGGCCTGGGGCAGTGGCTGTGTGAGTGGCTAGAAGGGGATGGATTATTATCCCCATTTTCCAGATGGATGAGCAGAGTTGACAAGACTTGGCAAATGTTAGACTATGGGGGTTGCATGAAAGGGAAAAGCCAAGAATGACTCCAGGGTCATGACCCTGGGTGATGGGAAGGACACTGGTACCTTTGACAGAGAAGTTCAGAGGAAGGAACGGGTTTGGTTGGAAACAAGCATGAGTGCCATTTTTGACATGGCAAATTTGAGATGGCAAAGAGATGCTGAGTTGGAAATGTCTAATAGGCAGTGTCTAATGGGCCTGGGGGGGATGGGAGAGAGAGAGAGAGACTCAGGTTGGATTTAGAAATCTGGGGGTCACAATGCTTCAAAAACCATAAAGCATCACAAAAATGAAATTATAATGATACTACCTCGTGTCACTTCTGTGACCCACATCCCTCTTTCCCTACATCTGTCTGATAAAAAGACACAACACAAAAGACCAGATGAACACAGAAAGGATCTCTTACAAGAGAATCTCTTTTCCATTCAGGACTGAGCTGATTTATAGACCAGCACTCAGCCAACTCAGCCTGTCTGTCTCAATCAGAGGGCATCTTCTGGAGGGTCAAGGAAACAGCTCAGATGCCTGCTGAATGTAGGGCAAGGCCCACTTCGCACCTCACACCTCCGTCAGCCTCAGCCCAGCCCTGAGTGCTGGAAAAAATAGGTCACAGGCAGGGGTGGGAAGGGATTCATCATTTCCTCTCCCATCTTTGGGGACAAACACTCTCCATTCATTTAATCATAAAGCTTTTTAATTAGTTTTTTTTTAAATTTATAGTTGCTAAGCTATAGCAACCATAGCCAGAGGGACAGGATGGTAGGAATGGGAAATGGGAAACTCTAAGTCCTGCTGTGTCCTGGGCTTTCTGACTTAAGGGAGCATCTGGTCTGGTCTCCTTCCAGCTGACTCTCCCCCAGGGGTTCCCTTCAGCAACCAGTGAGGGACAGGCTGGGGGTGGGGGTGCTGGTGGGGAGGGGACCCATTCTGTTTCTTCCACCCCTTACTCTCTGGGGTTCAGGGACGATACCCCATTGACCAATGTCACTCCCAGAGAACCCCTCTGCCTCTTGAGAGCTGTTTGCTGCTTTCGGTAAGACAATTTTCTGATATAGAATCATGAATCTATAAATGTGAGAAGTAGAAGAGAGCTCAGAACACAGAATCACATTAGATGACAGAACCGTAGAGGGCATCCAGCCTGACTCATCACTAACTAGGAATCCTGACTATGGCATCTCAAGTAGACTCCACTTGGAGTTCTCTAATGACGGCGCATCATCACCCATTTCACTTTTACAATGTCCCAATTTCCAAAAAGATTTTCCTTATTTTGGTCCTAGTTCTGCTTTCTGGGGGCCAATCAGAACAAAGGCCCTTTTCCATTTGGCATCCCTTCACAATCTTGAAGACAGTGATGACATTTGTCTTAAAATGTCAACTTTCCAGTCTCATCCCATCTTCCTTCAACACATCCTGGCCCAGGATGGGCTACAGTCCCCTCTCTACCCTGGTTATCCTCCTCTGGAGGCACTCCAGTGGAAAAAGAAGTGGTATTGGAGTCAGAGGACCTGGGTTCAGATTCTACCTTTATTGCATATTACTTGCGGAACCTTAAGCAAGACACAGCCTCTTTGGGTATCAATTTCCTCATTTGTAACAAGTAGGGGATGTGCTAGATGGCCTGTGAGGTCCTTCCCAGCTTTGGAGCTAGGATCCTATGATGCCTTCTAAAATGGGCAGCTGTCTAAAATATGACAAAGGAAATCTGACCAGAGTAGAAGACAAGATGATTTGTTTTTCTCTTTCTGGCCACTCACTGTACCTCTGTTAGTATGTTCCAAGATCACACCAGCTTCCTGGCTGCCATGTTTTGCTGGTGAGAGGCCGTGGGGTCTGTTGGGTAGAAATGGAGCCTTGAAGCAAGGAAAATTGAGCCCCACTTCTGACACATGCAGGCTGTGTGACCCTGGGCGAGTCACTTAATTGGTCAATGCTGCAGATCAGCAACGTCCAACTCGAGTAGAAACGCGGGCCACTAAACCATACATAAAGATCCCTGGGGGTCGACTGTTGACTTAGTTGTGTTAACATTGCCTATGCTTTACTGTATTTTTATTTATTTTTGTTAAATTTCTCCCCCATAAAATGGCTGAACAAGCTGTGGTATATAAATGTAATGGAACACTATTGTGCTATAAGAAATGATGAGCAGGCAGATTTCACAAAAACCTGGAAAGACTTGTATGGACTGTTGCTGAGTGAAATGAGCAGAACCAGGAGAATGTTGTACATAGTAACAACTACACTGTGTGATGACCAACTTTGATAGACTTAGCTCTTCTCAGCAATGCAAGGATCAAAGACAACTCCAAGAGGCTCACTATGGACAAAGCTATCCACACCCAGAGAAAGAACTATGGGATCTGAATGGAGATGGAAACATGCTATTTGTTCTCCTTTTCTTTTGTTGTTTTGTTTTGCTTCTTCTTTCTCGTGGTTCCTCCCATTGGTTCTAAATATTCTTTACATCATGACTAATGTGAAAATATGCTTAATATGAATGTATAAATAGAGCCTATATCAGATTGCACACTGTCTTGGGGAGGGTTGGGGAGAAGGAGGGGGAGAAAATTTGAAACTCAAAATCTTATGGAAGTGAATGTTGAAAACTAAAAATTAATAAATAATTTAATAACCCCCCCCCCCATAACATTTTAATCTGGTTGAGGCCATACTCAGGAATGTTGTGGGTCTTGTGTTGGACACCTCTAGAGGTCCTAGGTAACCTTGAGTCTATGAGCTGCAGAGAAGGTGCTGTCCTACACTGGAACAAGCTGTTTCCTTACCCAATTTACCAATGAAACTGCCAGCCCAGTCCCTTGACCTTTCTCAGATGAATTCCTCTCTAGTCCCACCTCCCTGATCTGGTACTTGTGTAACTGAATTTGTTGAACCCACCTGTAAGATTTTAAACTTATCCTGCTTGCATATTGGCTTATTAGATTTTGTCCAACACCCTACCCTACCATGAGCATTTGGGAACCAGGCTCTGCCATCCAATGCATTAGCTATCCTGCCCACCTTTGTGTTACCTGCAAATCTGATAAGAAAGTTATCTCCACTTTTATCTGAGTCGGCGGTCCTCAATCTTTCTGGTCTTAGGACCCTTTCATATTCTTATAAACTACTGAGCTTTTGTTTATGTGGGTTTATATTGATGATACTGTCTGTGTTAGACACTTAAATATTTTCATATTATTAGGAAAATAGTTTTAACCTTGTACATTTCTGCCCCAATCCCACCACAGTTCTCAGGGGCAGCCAGGGATCCCTGGATTCCCCTTTGAGAACTGCCAGTCCAAGTCATCTCTAAGCAGCCCTTCAGCTCCCACTTCCTTAGTAGCTACAGCTATGGAAGACCTGGGAGAGAAAGTCTTCATCATCCAAGTCCTTTGACATTCTCAGATGATTCAACATTAGGCATAGAAATGTAGTGAGAAATACATAAAGAAGCGTCTCCTCTAAGGATCATGGAGCTCTTCCATTGCAATTGCAGCCCTACATGTATTGCCTTCTCCTATGAGAATGTGAGCACCCTGAGGGCAGGGATTCTCTCACTTTTCTACCGGTATCTCTAGTGCTCAGAACACAATAAACACCAATTCTTTTAAGAACACTTTTCTCCTTTCCTTCACCCCTTGGTAGAAGTGTTGAATGGAACAGTGACCTCTGGCGCTGTCCCAAACCCAAACCCCAAAGGCAGGGAATGAAGGGGGTCCTCAACCACACGAGGGTTTGGGGTGCTTGTCGCAGATGGGGTGCCCCGCTTGTCCCTTCGGGGGGGGACGCAGAACACCCTCAAGCCCGGGTTACCTTTTCGTAGTACTGCAGTTCATAGTCGAGGATGACGCCGTTGGGCTGGTCAGGCTGGGACCAGGACAAAGTCATGCTGTCCACTGTCCGGCTCACCTGGTGCACGATGGACACAGCGGATGGGGCTACAAGAGAGACGATGGATTTTAACGGAAGGTCAAACACAATAGCCCCAGAGTAAAGGGAAGGGGCTTGCTGGATTTCATTCCAGTGTTTCTAAATTGTGTGTATATGGCGGGCATCAAATACAAGGCAGTATGGAGTCCAGAAGAAAACATGTAACCTGGAAACAGGAAAACCTGGGTTCAAATCCTCCTCAGACCCTCACTAGCATTGTGACCCTGGGCAAGTCACTTAACCTCAAAGCCTCAGTTTCCTCATCTGTAAAATGGGGATAATAACAACCAAAGCACCTACTTCACAAGATTGGAGTGAGACTTAGATGAGAAAACAGATGTACGACATTTTGCAAATGTTACAAGACTATGCTGACTTCATTTATTATTGTAACCTCAGCAACATTTTCCATATTAAAGGAATTTTCTTGATGCCTTTTGCTTCCTTTACAATTACCACCAATATCCATCTATCACAACTGGTTCAGTTATTCCCCAGTCGATGGGCTCCCCCTCAGTCTCCAATTCTTTGCCACTGCAAACAGAGCTGCTCCAAATGTTGGTATATATGGGTTCCTTTTCCCTTTCTTTGATCTTTTTGGGGTATAGACCTAGCACTGGTATAACTGGGTCAAATGGAATGCACAGCCTAATATTTTGGGGGAGCACAGTTCCAAATTGTTTTTAAGAATGGCTGGGCCAATTTAGAGTGCGTTAAAATACTTGCTATATCACAGCTCCTCTAACATCTGTCATTTTCCTTTTTTGGGGGGGGTACACACAACTTTGCCAATCAGATGGTTGTGTTGTGTTTCAGAATTGTTTTAATGTGTATTTCTCTAACTATTAGTGATTTGGAGAATTTTTTCAAATGACTATTGCTATCCATGCCTCTTCACCCTACGTGAGTCTTGCGCTCTCATAAATACTCTGTGGAAGTAAATCAACTCAAACTGTTGAGGGCACCTTCCAGATCTATTGACCATAAAAGTAAGGACTAGGATTATGTGATTTCTACAGTCCTTTGAAGTTCTGACAGTCTATGTTCCAAGATTTCTTCTGGCTTTGACATTCTGTGCTCTAAGGGCCCTCCCAGCTCTGACATCCTGTGTTCTAAGGGCCCTCCCAGCCCTGACATTCTGTGTTCCAAAGGCCCTCCCAGCTCTGACATTCTATGTTCTAAGGCCCTCCCAGCCCTGACAATCTGTGTTCTAAGGGCCTCCCAGCTCTGACGTCCTGTGTTCTAAGGGCCCTCCCAGCTCTGACGTCCTGTGTTCTAAGGTCTTCCCAGCTCTGACATCCTGTGTTCTAAGGGCCCTCCCAGCCCTGACAATCTGTGTTCTAAGGGTCCTCTCAGCTCTGAACTTCTGGGATTCTGACTCCCTCTCCATGGTTCAGTGCTAGCTGCACTCCCAAGGATAAAATGTCGATGGTTTGGCCTGGGACTGACACCAGAATGATGAGCAGGCTGCGCAGGGTGTGAGAGGCTCATGAAACTCTGGCTCAGGGTGGGACAAGCTGGGAAATCAGGGTTTCATTTCAAGAGCACGGAGAGCCAGAGGGACTTGGCTCGAGGGTAGGCCCAGATGGAGGTGGCAGGAGCAAGAGCTAGGACACGATGGTCCTTGGCCATGCCAAGGGCGAGCTTCTTCTACCTTTTACATGAAAATATGGACAGAGTATCAAGGTGGGCTTTTTGTAACACTTGGGACATCACTGGTGTCATGGAGGGCAGTTAGGTGGTGTAGTAGATAGAGCTCTGGTCCTGGAGTCAGGAAGACTCCTTCCTGAGTTCAAATCTGGCCTTAGGCACTTACAAGCTATATGACCCTGGGCAAATCACTTCACCCTTTTTGCCTCACTTTTCTCATCTGTAAAATGATCTGGAGAAGGAAACGGCAAACACTCCAGTATCTTTGCCAAGGAAACCCCCAATGAGGTCAAGAAGGGCTGGACGTGACTGAAATGACTCAATAGCAATGATGATGTCATTGGACTGGGCGACCTGTGAACTGGGTTCTGTGAGTGGAGATGCTTTAAATCCTTAGACAAGTAATTTAATTTCTCTGGACCCCACTTTCCTCATCTGTCACATGGGGACAGAGATACTTGCCCTACCTGCCTTATAGGATTGGCATGATGAAAGCCTCTTGTCAACCTTAAAACTCTACAAAAATGTGAATGTTTATAATTTCCATTTCTGGTTCTCTCAAAGCTGGATAGATAAGTATTCTGACTTTGCCATGATTGAGTTTCCCCTTCTGGAAAAAAGAGATAATAGTAGGATCATAGGTGGCACAGTGGATAGAGCACCAGGCAAGTCACTTAACACTGTTTGCCTCAGTTTCCTTATCTGCAAAATAAGCTGAAGAAGGAAATGGCAAACCACTTCAATATTTCTGCCAAGAAAACCCTAAACAGGGTCAGGAAGAGGAGGACATGGCTGAAACAACTGACCAACAACAAAGGTTTACAGGTAGCGATGATTTTAGAATAGAATGTTATAGCTGGACAGCACTTCATGATTATACACAAGCGAAGTCTGACATGGGTTTAAAAACTGACTTTACCAGGACAAGATGGCAGAGGCAAGATAAGACAGCAGTTTGGCTGAAAAAGATTTGGGGTATTTAGTGGACCATAATCTCAGTATATTTCAACATTGTGAAATAATGATCTTGGGCAGCTTTAAGAAGAATGTAGCTTCTGGGAACAAAGAGGTGAGAGTATCACTCTCCCCTGCCCTGGTTAGGCCATATCTAGGATACAGCGTTCAGTTCTGGGTGCCACGGTTTAGGAAGGATAGTGGTTAGTTGGAGAAAATTAAGAGGAGGGCAACCATGATGGTGAAGGGCCATAGGAGCTGAAACAACTGGGGATGTTGACCTTGGAGAAGAGAAGACTCTGGGCAAAAGCTTGATTACTTTCTTTAAGTGTTTGGCCCCAGAGGGAAGAGTAAAGAGTAATGGGTAGAAGTTATTTGATAGTAGCAACTTTCTAACAATTAGAGCTGCCCTAATGCAGCATGCGCCCCCTTGGCACATGGTGGGTTCTTCCTCATTGGATGTCTTCAAATGGAGCCTGGATGACCACTGGTTAGGTAGAATGTCATGGGGATTCATTTCTAGCTATGGTTTGAACTAAAAGGCTACATCTCAGGTTGTTTTCAACCCTGAAATTCTTTGATTCTGCAAAACGGTCTAGTCTAACCCTTCACTTTTCAGGAGAGGAGAGGTTCTTGGCCAAAGTCTCAAAGGCAGAAGAAGTGGGACAGAGATTTGAACTCAGGCCTCCTGATGCCATGCTTGAGCTCTCACTGAATCAATCACATAGTTGAGAAGATTGGAACATTCTTTCCCAGATAGGGTGCTCTGCTGGGCAAGAGTGGCTGGGAGTGCCTTGTCTCTTTGGTTCATATTGGAGGGGGATGGGGAAGCCAGAGGGGAGTGGGGATATTAAGGATAAGCCCTGTTGCTTCCTCTACCAAGTAACTGTTTTGATCAAGCAACCCCCTCTTCAACCAACCTGATGTCCTACTCATCATCAAGTGGTCCAGCACTGACAGGGAGAGGAAATCAGGATCCAAATTAAAGGGAGAAGAAGGAAAGGCGGGGAGGGGAGGTAGAGGAAGGCAAAGGCTGGAGAGGGAAGAGGCCTGGAAAGAAAAAGGAGTCAGAATAAAAGGGGAGAGAGGAGGAAAGCTGAGAGATAAAAGGAAGGAAGGAGATAAGAGGTATGTAAAGGAAAGGTAGATGGAGAGGAAAAGAAGGGTCAGGATAAGAGAGAAGAATGGGGGGATAAAGGAAGGGGAGGAGAGGGACAGGGAAAGGGGAAGGGGAGAGAGGGAGAGTCAGAGGCAAAGGCAAGAGGAGAAGAGAGAAAGCTGAGGAAGTAGGTGGTGGAGGTGGGGGTGGGAGAGAGAGAAGAGAGAGAAGGAAGGGGCTGGAAAGAAAGAGAAAATACTCTATAATTGTAGAGATGCTTAAGGTTGACAAAGCATCGCATACAAGGGGGAAAGGGCCAGGAAATGGAGGGGGAAGGAAAGAGAGGAAAAAGGGATGGTGAGGAAGAGAGAGGAGGAGGAGGAGAGGGTGAGAGAGGGAGATTTGGAGAAGAGACAGCGGGGAAGAGAGATAAAGGAGGAGAGGGAGAGGGTAAGAGAGGGGTGAAAAAAGGAGAGGAGAGGGGAGAAAAGAGACAAGGGAAAAGGTAAGAGAGGAGGAGGAGAAAGAGGGCAGAAGAGAAAGTCGATGATGGAAAGGCTAAGTGAGGAAAATGAAAAACTTCAAAGAGGCAGAGTGGAAAAGGGAAAGAGAAAAGGAATGGAGAAGAGAGGGGAGGTAGGAGCCTGGCATGAGGAGGGGTAAAACTACTGTCCCATGATGCTTTGGGGACACTTTGATGTTGAGCTGAAATTAGACCAAAAACCCCAACCCCAACAATAACCAACCCACCCCCTCCCTACCCCCAAGCCAAGTCCTGACTCTGTCACTGCTGTCTTCTGGTTTCTTTCTCAGGCTGGCCTTGTGTGAGGACTGGAATGCTACATTCTTCTTCAGGCTCCCTGAGGACACAGTCTTCTTTGTGATGACTGTGAGGCAGACTTCCATCCCCTCCAGTCTGTCACCAGTCAAAGCTGAACCTTCCCTCCTGGGGTCTGACCAAAAATAATCCCTCCCCTTCTGGGGTTTCATAATTACCAGGAGAAAATCATCAATGACTTGGAATCAGGGATACTCTCAGCTCCTTTCTCTCAGACACCACAGGAAGGGGAGGAGGAGAGGGAGGCAACTTAGGGAGCCCAGAGGCAGAGACACCCCCTTAGTCCAATAAACCCACTCAATCCCCCCTGGACAGTCACCAAAAGCAGCCCTTTCCAGGTTAGGGGATCAATCAGGAGGCAGACGCCAGAGAGCTGAGGCCACAGCCGTCTGGGGAATACGGCAGGAGCTGTTTCCACTGGGAAATCTTGAACATTTGTCCCCATGAGACAACTGGGATTACAAGAT